CAACTTCCAGAATTCCCCGGCCAGCAAGGCTGGCTGGGGAATTCTGGAAGTTGAAGTCCACACATCTTAAAGTTGCCAAGGTTGAGAAACACTGGTCTATTCCAATAACAGTTGAAGGATGTTAACCCAGGCCAATATTTTTTCATTGCACAGTCCTAGACTCTCCAGAATGGTTGAGGGTGATGAGAGTTGCCATCTATTTTGTCTGAAAGGCTGCTCTGCTCTTTAACATCTCTGGACAGGACACCTTCCTTTGTTGTCTCTAGTGATTGTTCCTACGTCTTCCATTGGAAGTCGGAGTGGAAATTCTGGTTCAGTTTGGATTGGAAGAGCCATAGACGAGAGTGGAGCTCAAGGAAGACACACAGGTCTTGCATCCCAAAGCCCCTAGGTTCAATCCTCAGCCTCTCCCGTCAAGGCCAGGAGGGAAGGGAAAGAGAGCTTAACCAAACCCCTTGAGAGTGGCTGCCAAATTTATTTTCTTCTTTAGGCCCCATGAGCGAGACCTTGAAGAGAGGATGTACAACCCCCCAGCACTGCCAGTTATACTTCGCTGTCCGTAGGGGGTTTGTTTCCCGAAGCATCTACTGTTGTTCTCAGGATCTTTGCAATGCTGTTCCCTACAATGGTAAGGGACTCTGGAATAGGATCCCTGCAGAAGTGAAGACAAGCAGAGCTCGGAGCACTTTAGGTTCACAGAAAGCCAGCCAGAGAGATGGGTTGCCATGTTCTCCTATTCCTTGCATGGGGCTGCCCGCTCAGCAGAGCAACCCAGTGCTGCATAGCTTGATGTGCAGAGGGACCTGAGGTCTGAGGCATCCTTAGTGCAAAGAATAAAAACATCTGGAGCTCCATTGCCAAGTACACTGGAGGGTCTCACTCAGTAGAAGGGCATCTCGCCCAAATAGCTTTTTCTCCTCCTATCCAACAATAACTGGTGAACCGTGGGTCCCCCACCACTGTATTAGAGGATCCTTATCTTTCACCCACAAAAGATACTACCCTGAGTAAAGTGTTGTTCTGACTCTAAGATGTAGAATAATATGGAAGACAGGGAGTTCACAGTAGCACAAGGGATCCACCAGAGAGCAAAACAGGCACCCTTATATCCATGTCCCCAAATATCTGGATTAGAATTCTCTTCTCTCCTGGATCTTGTTCAACCCAATTCCCACACCTGCAATTGCCTGGCATTAACCACTGATCTTCATGCACCCATTTCCTCTTTCAATGCCTAGGAGAATCCAGTTCCTCCTCATAGAATCAAGGGGTTGGAAGGTGCTTGGGGGTCATCTAACCCCTTGCCCAGCACAGGAGTCCTCATACCATCCTTGACAAATGGCTGTCCAATTTTTCTTGAAAACCTCCAAGGATGGAGCCCCCATAACTTCAGGAGACAGGCAGTTCTGCAGTTAATAGCTCTCTCAGTCAGGAAATTCCTCCTCAATACAAATTTGAATCTCCCTCTGTAAAACTTCCACCCATTGGTTCTTGTCTTACCCTTGGAAGCTATGCAAGAATAAATCCACACCCTTTGCCTGTGACATAGAAGACTGAGATCATGTCTCCCTCAGCTTCTCTTCTTTAGACTAACCATATCAAGTTCCTTTAGCTGCTCTTTGTAGGATTTAGCCTCCAAGCCCCTTACCATCCTTGTTGCTCCTGCTCTGATTGTGCTTCACTTTCAGAATTCGGGACAGTCATATAATCCAGGGTGGAAAAGGGAACAGAAACATCCTCAACCTATTCTTTCTTGCCCCCTTACAGTCACTTATACAGCCAAGCGCAACGGATTGGAATGCTACAGTTGTATAGGCAGCTTGGGTGAATGTAGTGGGACTGATGTTCCCACAGCCCAGTGCAGAGGCAGAGAAAATCATTGTGTGGAAATCTCCCGTCAATGGTTGCCAGGTAAACCATCGGAGAAGTTTACAGATATTCTCTTTTTTCAAGAGTTTTCTTTGATCAAGCATCTATCTGATCATTCTCCATAACAGGTAACACTACTGTAGTTGGAAATTATGGAACTTGAAATCCAGTACATAAGAAGGGTACCATGTTTCACCAAGGGTGAGATATGATTGGTGGTGATCAAAAATTAGGTCTTCTTGATGGCTGCACTGATATCTGAAATTAATGGTCCCTTGTGTTCAAATGGGCTACTCCATATGGGCATAGAATTGTTGTTCAAATCATGCAAAAGAAGTATATATGCAAATAAACTCATTATGTATAATTTATACCAATCAGAAAGATCAACTGTGGTGTAGATGATGCATAGATGCTGGGTTGTACTCTTCAGGAATGTTGGTTTAAATGTAGTACAAAACTGACATTCTGATAACAAGAAGAGGCTACAGCTACAGAAGCTGAGTTCACACAATGCAGTATGTTAAACCTTAAACCCAGGTTAGCAAATTACAGTGGCTGAGTTCACATCACATGCTATGCGTCAACAAACCACATGATGGCTTATGTGGTGGCCTGGTTCACAAAACATGCTAAGACAATGGCTGGACTCCTGTAACACAAAGAATCGCAAACTTTCCAACCCTATTTTAACCTATTCAAGCTTAATCAGCATATTTACCCAAATTATATTTAAATTTGGCTCAGTGGGATCTTTCTGCAAATTGCCTGGAAAAATGCAGATCGATATGGAAAGGGATCTGCAAATTCTCTGCCAAATATTTGTGCGTTGCACAGAAGCATAGGTTTCATTTTAACGTCAGAGGAGAACCAGTGTTGTGAAAGAAATCCATTAAAATAGATAAACTGCCTGGTCCACCATAAATGGTCATCTCACTGAAGAGCTCGTGCACATTATATAACATTCCAGAGCTTTCCTGGGGCATATGACCTGCTACCTGTCATTCTGGCTTGCAAACGTAGCAGAAGGATTAATTCAATGCTTTGTTCAAAAGAGAGGGGGAAAAAGCATTTCTCTCTTTCTCTGATCTTGTCAAGCGTTTTTAATATCCTGCATTTTCACAGAAACTGGTCTGGTGGAGCCTATCATCAAGGGCTGTGGAGATTATCCCAAAGAAGAACGACTGTTAGCATACAGCATAGGTAGCGAAACCAGCTACGTGGCTATCCGAATCTGTGAAGGCTCTAAGTGCAACAACAATTCTTTCCCAGGTGACCCTAGGCTTAAATTTAGTTTCAGTTTTCTCTGTTTTTACACTGACATAAATTTGGAGGGGGTAGGACCCTTAATCCAGGGTTAATTCAAGATGGCATGCAAAAGAAAAACCCAACAGCAATTGCAATTTCTTTTTCCAAGTTTAAAATGCATGAATGCTTTGAGAATGAAGCTACTGTATTTTTGGAGCAATCTGCAGTTCCAGTTTTTACATAATTCAGGCATGTAAATTGCATCAATGCATTGCAGAGGGAGGGAGGGAGGGAGGAAGGAAGGAAGGAAGGGTTCTCCCAGGATTATGTTCTCCATTTCAGAATTTTTGACCAGAGAGCCCAACGGGCTGAAATGTTACAGCTGCTTAGAGGAAGGCAACGGAGAATGCAACATAGAGAACCTGCAACTGGCAGACTGCATGGGAACCATGGACCAGTGCATGACTGTTCTAGGCAAGCCAAAACACAATCCAAGATCAGGGGAAATGCTGGGCAGTAGCTCTGTAGTTGCAGTTATTAGGCAGATCACTGGCCCTCATTAATTATCTTTTAAAACATTCACTAAAACTTACCAGATATCTCTATAAATCATGTGTTGAAGGAAGAAAAATCAAGATGGTGGCTATAACTGCAATCAAAACTTCATCTCTTTTTTACAGGCGTCTCAACACATGTAAACCAGATGTGGGCTTTGATCGCAGGGTCACGGCTGCCATCTTGAATTTTTTGACACCCCCCTGAACATGCAAAGCACACAAAGATTTCCAGCTTTCTCCTCCTGTATTTTTCACAGGGCAGCTTTCATTCGCTGAGATTATTAGAGAAGGGGGAAGTTGACCAGTTGAATGACTGCCCATCATGCCTTTGACAAGAACTCTTACTGTGCTACACTTCAGCATCTTAAAAAATGCAGTGTCCTAACTTCCCCACCCCACAAAAAAAATCCCTCCCACTCCCCCTTTAGCTACAATTAGGTTTCTTTTGAAGGGAAGAGGGGATCTTTTTCTCCTATGGATTAGTGACATGTCTGAAGTGTATGTGACCTTGCCCTAAACATTTTCCACTTTTTTTTCTTGGAAGGACTGCTTTGTCTTTAGTAACTCTGGAAGGCAGGCATATATTCAGCAGGGAAAGTCCATCCTACTTGTGTTTTCATTCCAAATGCAAACACAGTGATTATTAGTTACAAACCTCTTCATGAATAGGGCAGTTTGGCTCTGCAGTTGCAAGGTTGCCAAGATAGGGGAGAAAACCGTGTTAGAGAACCTATGGTCCTCTCTCTGTTGCTGGACACTACCACCCATCAGACCTATGTATGATGGCCAGCATTCAGCAGTTCATCAAATATTTGGAAGGCCCCAGATGCATCTCTCCTAGAGACTATGGTTGTCAAATCCCTCCTTTCAAGGGGATGTTGGATTAGAATGGCCCTTGATCTAATCCACTGTGACTTTTCCTGGGACTTATTACAGATACTTTAGCCCTACTGGGAAAACTTGGCATTCATATTCATTCCCATCCTGAGACAAGACTGTTCTTCATTTTTCTGTTCTGATACAGATTATACCCACAACACCAGAATCCGAGCTGGATGTGCCAACCAGGAATTCTGCCAAGATACCACCTTCTATGGAGCTTTGATGCCCAAACTGCCAATTAGTTACATGATATGCTGCCAGAGTCCTTTCTGCAATGGACAACCTGGCCAGGGAATAAGTAGCACAAGAGTCCTTCTTAGCCTGCTGATGGTGCCACTGTTCATTGCTTTGAACCAGCAGACAGTGACCTCCCTCCAAATCACCTCCCTCTAAACTTCTCCTTGCTTCTACCATGGTTTGAACCACAATCATAGGGGACTGAAACATGTAGATAAGGCAACACTACTGAGGAGTTCAGCCTCTGGCTGAAGAGCCTGGCCACACGGTTCTGGATGAGGGTTTTGACACCTACATGAGATCTTTTTCCTTATGTTGATTAATTATCCAGAGGACCAATTCCTACAGACGTGATGAAAGTAGATAATCATTTATGATGGGCAAACCATACCTAAAGTGCTACTGAGATGATGATGACGATGATGATGATGATGATGATGATGATGATGATGATGATGAACTGGAAGAAAACAAGGATCCCTCTTTAGGATTGACTCCCTGCCTTCTAATGTAGAAATGTTTCAATGGCGGAAGGAAGGAAGGAAGGAAGGAAGGAAGGAAG